TCATGGTTGGCACCATAGCAGCCTAAACTATAAAAAAATAAAAGTAATTTTGTAGAATAGTCAGACATCTCGATTCTACTCTGAAAAAAAAGGAGTTTTGCAGAACCCTTCGAAAAGTTTCTGTAGATTTCTAAAAGCCTCCAAATGTGTCCAAAGTCTCAAAAAAGGATAAAAAATTCTACAGAACCTTTTGAAGGTTCTGCGTTTTACTCACTCGCAGAACCATCTCTTACAGAACCTTTTGTTAGGTTCTGTACAGCAAAAAGAGATTCCGTGAGAAAATATGAAACCTTTAGGGTTCCGTACAACACCTTGAGGGTTCTATACAAAACCATCAACCGCTGGTACGAAACCCTAATGGTTTCTTACAAAACGCTCAAGGTTGTTGTACAGAACCCTTAAGGTTTCGCATTTTCTCACGGAACCTTTTTTTGCTGTACAGAACCTAACAAAAGGTTCTGTAAGAGATGGTTCTGCGAGTGGGTAAAACGCAGAACCTTCAAAAGGTTCTGTAGAATTTTTTATCCTTTTTTGAGACTTTGGACACATTTGGAGGCTTTTAGAAATCTACAGAACATTTTCGAAGGGTTCTGCAAAATTTCTTTTTTTTCAGAGTAGAATCGAGATGTCTGACTATTCTACAAAATTACTTTTATTTTTTTATAGTTTAGGCTGCTATGATGCCAACCATGAATTTAATGAAGAGGAATAACGTTATTTGGTCTCAATCAGCTCATTACAAGTAAAATTACAACAGTATCCGAACAACAAAGAATTATATTTAGCTGGAAAGACGTGTACATTTGCTGCAAAATGGCTTGATGAATATCTAGGCATGGGCAACCGACCTAATACCCCATTGGAAGAATATTATTTCATGGAGAAGTACATAATAAATTTTATACCAAATGAAAGCTCGTCAAAAATGGAATTTAATAATACTAAATAGTAAGGGTTTTGTAAACTTTGTATTGTCGAACTTATCAAATTTTGAGAAATTTAATGCACTAAAAATGTTAAAAAACTCACATTTTCTATATGGAAGAAAAACACTAGGTTTTCCCATGAAATTAGCTTTTTTGCATTATTTTTACTACCTTACATGTTTCGAAATACATCCAATCGATGCAGCATGGAAAACTGAATCGAGTAAGTGTATTTCGAAACATGTGAGGTAGTAAAAATAATGCAAAAAAGTTAATAATAAAAAAGAATAAATGTAAAAAGTCTTTCACTATTTTTACGAGCTTTCGATACTATACTAGCATCATCATCAGGCAATTTATTAAAAAGATTTGTAACAATTATGAAAATATATGATGATCTTATTATACAAAAATAATTTTTTGTTTTTTTAGTACGTCTGTGATGTTAAGATATTAAAATATACAGTGAAACCTCGCTTTGTGAACCCCCTCCTTTATGAACCCTCCTTGATTCTGAATGTGAACACATTTTTTAGTCCCATTTGTACACACTGACCTTATTTATGTGAACATAAATAGAGAACGTCACCGTACCAAATTGTGTGGTTGAAACGAAAGAGGTATTTGTGAAAAAGTTCATTGGATATATGATTTAATTCAATCAACGACAGGGAGAGAGAAGGGAGAAAAAGAATGATAAAACAAATACCATTGTATTAATCGGATGTATGTCCATTTTTTGTTTCAGATGTGTCTACTCGTAATGATCTTACCTTAGAAGAGAAGATTAATGTTATTAAACAAAATTAAGCTGGTTCATCTTATCGTGAATTACGAGATAAATTCAAATATCTATTGGTGCTATGTCGAATGTTATCAAAAGGAAAAGAGAATATATGAGTGATTATGAAACTAATCTAAATAAAAAAGTTAAACGCAAAACTAGTCATGGTTTTAGTCAATCAATCAATCGATTAGTTTATGAATGGTTTATAGCTCAAAGAGCAAAAAAAAATTCCTGTTTCCGGACCAATTTTTCAAACATATGCTCGTCAAATTGCTCAAGAATTAGGTGATAAATCAGGCTTTAAGGCCAGCAACGGTTGGTTGAAAAGATTTAGAGTTCGTTATAATGTTCATTTTCGTATGATTTCTGGTAAAGGAGCAGCTGTTAATCAAGATACGGTAATCTATTGGAAGACACGGTTATCAACAATTCTTGAACAGTACAATCCTGTTGATGTTTATAAATGTGATGAAACGAGCCTTTATTACAAATTGATGTCCGACCGATCTCTTATTGTTAATAAAGATGATTGTATTGCTGGTAAGAAATCTAAAGAGAGATTTACCGTATTGTTTTGTGCCAATTGGACTGGAAATGACAAATTAAATTCAGTGGTGATTGGTAAGTGGTAATTTAATTATCGTACTCCTAATATAAGTGTCATCATTTTTCTATTTTTAGGAAAAGCAGCTAAACCAAGATGTTTCAGAAATCTTGATATGAAAAAATTGCCTGTTACGTGGTATAGTAACCGAACAGCATGGATGTATAGTTCTATATTTACTGATTGGTTACATGGGTTGGATTTAATGATGCAAAAGCAAAAACGTCGAATATTATTGTTTTTAGACAATGCACCAGTACGTCCAACGGATATTAATATGAAAAATATTACTCTCAAGTTTTTTCCGGCTAATACAACAGCTATTATACAGCCAATGGACCAAGGAATTATTAGAACCTTCAAAGCTTATTATCGACGATAGCTTGTTCATCATATCATCATTAGTGCTACTAATGCTTACTCGGCAGACGATGTTGTGATCACAGCATTAGATGCTATTTGTTGGATAGATATCGCCTGGAAATCCATCACAGAAATTACTTTACAAAATACTTTCAGAAAAGCTGGATTTATAATTCCATCTGTTTCGCCGGATTTACCATTAACAGAAACAACATTAACTGATGAAATTACTTCCGTTCAAGAACAAGAATCTTTAAACAATCTTGATAAAATACTTGAACATATATTTATTGGTGGTACTGGTATGCCAGCTATTGACTTTGTAGTGAGTTTTCAATAGTCACTCTAAGCTTTAAAAGCATACTTATTAATCTCATTTTGAATATTCTAGGGTGTCGACGACAATCTACCAGCATTCAATGAATGGAATGATAATAGTAAAAAACTTTTATCTATTAATGTTGTTTCCAATGAAGATACTCCACAAAATGAAGATTTTGAAATTGAACAACCACCATCATTACCCGAAGCTATCAAACTACTTCGTCGATTAAAATTATTATCAACTACTCATCATCCAGAACTCCATCAATTACTGTCGCAGTTATAGTCGAAGCTCATCGATATCTATTTGGATTCGAATAATTCTAGACAGAAATCTATTTTAGATTTTTTTCGACCTGACGAATCGAAAACAAAAAACTGTGTTTAACTTTTTTTGTTAAAAATGTACAATTTGGAAAGTTATAAACTTGAATAAAATAAATTTATTTACTTTAAAGTTGTGAGTAAATGATCAAACTAATGTTATAATCTGATTTTGCTTGTCCCCCTCCTTTATGAACACCCTGTTATACTGAACGTTTTTCGTCAGTCCCGACGGTGTTCACATTAGACAGGTTTTACTGTAGATGTTTTGAAAGATATGTTATTAAATATATAATTTGATAATTTTTTTGATAATAATGTTTCTTTGATTTCTCTCTTCTTTCTATTGTTATCAAATGCTAAGGTGTTAGGTTCATTAAAATTTAACGTATGTTTGTTCATTATAATATGATCATAATTATTGCATTTAGTAGGATCTGCTTTTTTAATATTATCCATATGTTGTTTAATTCTTTCATTGACACTCTTTCCAGTTTGTCCTATGTATATTTTGTTACAGTTTAAACAATTAATTCTGTATATAACTCCACTTTTTTTTATTATCTTCGCCTTTTATTTTGTTGCTAAAAGTATTTCCTATTGTTTTATATTTTTTAAAAACCATTCTTGTTTTTAATTTCACATTATTTAATATTTTCTTTAATTTCTTACTAAATATGTATGATTCATGTCCTACATAGCTTATTGTAATATTTATTTGTTCATTATTATCATTACTAATTTTATTTATATCATTATTTAAATTAGTGTTGTTGTTACTATTATTATTATTATTATTATTTATGATGTTAATTCCGTTGTCGATCATATTATTTTCTTTTTCTTTTTCTTTTGCTTTGGCTAAAGTTTTTTTAATTGTTTTCTTTATTATATATTTAGGATAGCCATTATTCATTAATACATTAGTTAAATGATTAATTTCATTATTTAATAGATTATCATTAGAACAAATTCTATACGCTCTTACAATTAATGAAGATATTAAGCCAATTTTTTGAATTATCGGTAAACAAGAATCATATTTCATGTATAAATTTGTGTTGGTTTTTTTCCTATATATTGATGTTGATAAAGAATTAAATTCTCTATTTATTTGTGCATCCAAAAACGATATTAAATTATCTTTTTCTAATTCTAAGGTAAATTTTATATTTGTATGTAATGAATTAATTATATTTAATACATGTAATATATGCTCTTCAGATCTTTCAATTATTGCAAAAACATCGTCCACCTAACGTACCCAAGTTTTAATTTTTAATTCTTTATTTGTTAAAATATATTTTTCTTCTAAGTTAGATATGAATAGATCAGCAACAATAGGGGCAACTGGTGAACCCATTGAAACACCTTCTATTTGACGAAAATACTTATTATAAAATCGAAAATGTAAATTTCTTAAAGATAAATTAAATAGAATATATAATTCATTTTTTGTAATTTTAGTGAATTTTAAAGTTTTATTTTTGTTCCAAATTAATTCAACAGCTATGTTTATTGCTTCAGTAACTGGTATGTTAGAATATAGTGATTCTATATCAAAACTCATCATTAACTCATTATTATTTATTGATGTTTTTTTAATTAATTTAACAAAATCGAATAAATTTTTTACATATGATTAATTATCATTTTTACAATATTTTAACATATTCGCTAAGTATGTTGATAATTTATAATTAGGTGCATTATACATAGCAATAATTGGTCGTAATGGAAAATTCTTTTTATGTACTTTAACTGTACAATGAAGAAATGGAACTGTACTACCAGATGTGAAATATTTTATCATAATCTTTTTTATTTATTTTCTTATTTTGTAATAATCTTTTTAATTTATTATTAATTTGATTTTCATCATTTATAGATTCATCATTCGAGACAATGCAAAATTTTTTTGGATCTTGCAATAATTTATTAACTTTTCTTATATAATCTAACTTGTCCATCACTACAACAGCGTTGCCCTTATCAACACGTAATATTACTATATTTTTATTCATTTTTAATTCTTGTAATGCAATATGTTCATCATCACTTAGATTCGAAATTCGTTTCATTTTATCTTTTTGTGTACTCAAAAAGTGAGTACACTACTAAAATCGGTCAGTGTGTCCGTCCGTCCGTCCGTCCGTTTATCCGATAACTTTCGAAAGGAGAGTCGGATCGTGATGAAATTTTCTACACAGT